GGCGAAGCTGTATGTGTGTGTGTGTGTGTATTTTGTACATGTGTGCACACGCATCTGTGTGTGTGCGTGTCCGCGTATTTGTAATTCCGTCTTAACGTCTTCCTGTTCATTTTGTTAATTTTTCACCTACGTTTAAATGAGCGAAAAAGTGGATTTTTGCTGAGTTTTACTATAAGCTAATTTGCAGATGGAGTTAGCTGCACTCAGTGCAAAGCACCTTTTCATTTTGTGTTGCTACGGTGGTACTCCATTTGTCGACTTGCATGCCACATCACATATCAAGCAGAAACACCAATCCACGCACATTGTTGATCCGACTGACTGGATTGCTGTCGATACTTCCGGTATTTTTATGTTAGTACAGTTGTTTTTTATAATGCATAAGCTAGAACTATGCCAGTCTTCTCAGGATCGAAGGGCCTGGCACAACTGCACTCAGCTTATCGGAACATTCCAGTTACATCAGAGATACGGGATATCCACACTGTTTGACAGGGTAGTCTTGTATTCTGGGCCTAAATTTAGGGCTTTTGCGGTATTTTGACAGACAACTTCGAAAACTGGCAGGATATTCCACAATAGGCCTTTTTGCACCTTGTTTTTACTGCTATTCTCGTATACTCAAAAAATCTCAATTTTTCGGAATATCGAGCTCTTTCCGTGAACTTTTTTTAGTTTTTTACTAAAATCGTTATATTACTATTTGCAGGTTCTCAACTGAACTTATCGTTAATAGACTCCTTGCCGACATTGCACGTCCCACCGAATATAGCATTGAGTAGTTGCGATTTATTTAACCTGACATTCTCGGATATTCAGGATGAGGAACTGTTTGAGAAAAGCAGAGGGCAAGTGAAATGCAGGTTAGTATTACTGATATTTGGCATTTTAATGTGGCTAGAATTCCTAAAATTATGTGCCCTTAGGTCAGACTGTGAAAATATGTGGAAGTCTGCCTTTTGTTTTGGACCTATACTTGTCCCGGAAAGGGTCGGAGAAAAGAGAAGGGGGAGGGGAGAGAGGGAGGGGGACAGGGGGGGGAGGAGTAGGAGAGGGAGGGGAGGGGAGAGGCTGTGTTTTCAAATTTTCAGCTACCTAGCTTATCGGATTTGCAAAATTGAAAAACCGTAACAGCATATGAACACGGAAACAAATACACACATAATCCTCACATAAATACGCATACACATAATGTCTTGACAGTACGCGTTTCTGCATTTACATAACTGCATAAAAAGCGTAAAATATTCGGAAATCCAGGCCTATCCAATGCTAAGAATAGAGCATTAGTTTGTTAAACTCAAAAGTTCTTGTAGTTTTTCCGGTAACGGCGGTGATTTTTTTAGGGCTGGGATGAGAAAATCATCATATTGCCGTCACATATACGAAAGTCTATCATTTTGCACTTAGCTTTTCTGAAAATTAAAGATTAATTAGTGAGAAAGTAAATGATCCTTGATGCTCTTTTCCAAAAAAAGTTGCAGACAAATGCTCAACTTTTTCCTCTCCTTTTTTACGAAGTTTTTCAAAAGAAATGTGGAAAAAATGCTCCTCTCCTGGCATTAGTCTGATTAATTTCAAGACTTTCGCAATTTTTTCTTGGCGAAGTGGAAATTTTTTAGGTTTTGAATGAAAAAATCGTCATACTTTAGTCGCGTAGATGAAACTTTATCATTTTATACCTAACTTTTTCGGGAATTAATTATTAATTAGTATGAAAATAAATTATTCTTAATGCCCTTTTCTAAAAAGCGGGCAAATGTTTCAGTTTTTTCCCTTCCTTTTTTACAAAGTTCTTCAAAAAAAAGATGTGGCCTCCTCACTTGTTTCAAAAATTTCTGCCTTCATGCAAATTTTCAGCTCCTTTCTAAATTATATGCAGGTTCCCTCCTTCCCTTCCGCCTGGGAAGACCAAACAAACAACCTACCTCAACCCTATCTAGCATTCTGTGGATGAAAGGGAATACCACAACCGCTGTAACTTATCTCCAACTGGGCCAATCCGAGCTAGATTTCAGTAGTTACAGAAGTAGTAATATTTTTACTCTATTTCAAAATCATTGTTTTTTTTTT